GTGCAGGCGGTGCCTACCGTTATGGCCAGTGTGGGTCCCCTTGACAGCAGCAGTAGTGGGGAATCCATAGGGGTAGTGCCCCGCACCTGGTACATGGGGCTGTGCTGCACTGCTGCTGACTAGGAGGAGAGTGAGCAGGGTGCAGCCAACTCAGCGCCCAGCGGCCTGGGGTATGGCAGGTTGGGGTTGAGGCTATCCAGTGAGTGCTGCATAGTGGTGGTGGGTGCAGCCAGCTCCTCCTTGTCACCTGAGGAGCTTTTACACCTGTCTACCTTGGAGCCTGTGAAAGAGCACAATGCCTGGCCTGGCTTGACCTCCAACATCTCACTGCCCAGCTTCTTGGTGCCCTTGCTCAGTTCTAGGCACTGCTGGATTGAGCCCGTGCCATTGCAGGGGCTGGGGCTGGCCTAGGCACCACTCTTCAGCATGTAGAAGGGGTTGCTGGGCAGGAGCTGCTCCCCCAGCTGCATGCTTAGCTGGGCTTGGCTCTGAACTGGACTGGGAAGACACAGTGGGATTGCCCCCTGGCTGGGAGGAGGGTTTTGAGGGTCCTGGGTTGTGCTGAGCTGCGAGCAGGGGGTAAAAGCTGGGCAGACCCCAGCTGGGGTCCTGTGCCTATGGGAGTAGGGAGGCAGGGGGGTTTAATCACCCTCCACCTGAGCCTGCTGTCCCATGCCCCCACCCCCCCACTCCAGCAGGGAAAAGTCTGGCAGGGGATTCTCTGGCCCTGCCAGGCAGACTGGACTGCGTCCCCAGCTGGGTTCCCCACCCCTACCCCCACCCCCTTGGGAGGCAGCCTTCACTGCTCCATTTAGAGAACAGGGGGTGGGGCTAACTTGGCTCTGGTGGAGCAGGCAGCACAGCCCAGCTCAGGGCTGCAAAGCATCCTGGGATGCTGGGGGACTTTGATGCAACTTAAACCAGGAAGGGGTCTGGGACAGACATTGCATAAACCAGTTTGACCTAAATTAGTTAAGTCTGATGCTACATTCACCAGGTTTATCTTTAACTAGTTTCAGCCATTTTGAAAGTGACTTGTGTGCACTGAACTTCTGTTGTGTTACAGGTTTAAACCAGTTTCTGATCACTTAAACCGGTTTATGTGTACCTTCTGTCCCTAGCCTACATGTTGCATTGCTTGGACATAGTGTTGTGGATTCTCCTTTGCATCTGTTCTCTCCCAATTGTCTTCCTGTTTAAGTTGTCCTTTTTCATTTCGAAATAATAATTCATTCCCTCAAATAGAGGGTATCCCTTCAATAATAAATTCTAAGATAAGACTTCCTTGAACATGACTGCAATCATACTCTTGATAAGCCTGAATTGGCTTGTTCACATTGTTTTTCCTCACTTCCTAAAGGTGGTGGTAAAGAGATTCTCAAGACTTGGCTGAATTTTAGAGACATTAAATGGAAGATAAAAGAAATGATGTGTTTTGGAATTTAAAACAATCCTTTAATTTGTAGTACAATACAGAAGTCATTGCTTATCCTGTCGGTGCTGGCAGAAAGTTCCCCACTATGATCACGGGGGATCGGGACCTATTAGGAACTGAAAGGAAGAATATTACAATATTACAGTGCCTTCTCAATGGACATCTTGATATCCAGGCAAACTGGATAAGCAGGCTATATTCCTGCTGATGAAGACACTTCAAGATGTTTTTGTTTTTACAGGACTTTCTTTTTCCTTTTCTTTTTCTTCTTCTTTAATTTCACCAGGCTTGTGGTGTGGGAGAATGGCTTTATTTTAAAATATTTTGGAGGTTAAGATCTTTTGAGTGCTTATCTGGAGTTGGAATGAATACAATTCAAATTTTTGCTTTTAGATAAAAGACTCTAGAATAGCTAACTTAAATACTTATGTAAAAACAAAATTGCAACACTGACTTTTATATTAAGTAGCAAAATAAAACTAAAGATTTTCTAGAGTTCAAATAAATGCAATAACTTATTTTCTATTAATAAAATATTTAATGATGTTTATAAATGTCATTAAAATTGAGTACTAGCTATAAGGGTGATTAGCCAGGGTTGGTATGTGGTTCCATAGTGCTTGTTGTTTTATTTTGGGCAGGGATATTAAGACTGTTACATTTGTGACTGTTGTAAAAATTCAATCTGTGAATGCAAACTGTACTGGAATCTAAATAACTTTCCAGTTTTTCCTGGTTATTTAAGTGGTTACTTCCATCAAACAATCATTCTGTAGAAACGTGCTGAACCAAATTTTGCCCTTTAATTCTCAGGACTGCACATAAACATCCAAAAGTAAAATATAACCTCTAAAATACTAAGAAGTTTTAAAATGAATTCAACATACTACTTACAAAATCAGGTCTTCCAACTTTTTCTCACAGACAGATCTAGACAAGTACAGCTGACAAACGAAAAACTGCTTTGCTTGAATCCTAACTACACATACTTTCTGCCAAAATATATATTGAGACTTTTAGGCATTCATAAATATGTTTAAAACATGACTACACATTCAAATGTAACCATTGCTTACCATGTGAGGTACTAGTAAATTCCACTAAATTATGTGGATTAGGTTTTTGGCTTCATTTGGAAAAAAATAGCTTATAATATATCACATAGTGTAAGCTAGAGAAGTTACATGGAATTAGTTTGCAAGTTTTTTTTTTTAATGGTATTCCTATTATGCACAAGTGTAAGGTATCGCTGGAAAATATCCAAGCAATAGGACAAATGAAAGGGCTTAAGACATAGATACAAGTCGTATACTTCAATGAACTAGGACAGAACAGTCTAGGGATTCAGTTTTGTCTGTAACAAACACTTCATTTTTTCGTACAATTGGGTGTTGCCTGGGCAGATTCTGAGGTGTGTTTTTGGTCCATTTTAGTTAATGTGCTAAAGGAAATGTTTTTTAAGCAGACAAGGCAACATAGTTTTTAACACCTTTTATACTGGTTAAACTGAAGGTTTCTATCACTGTTCACAGTGCTAAATTCAGTTAATGGAATCGTGTTCTTTTAATGTTTACATTTTATTAGGCAGCCAGACTTCTTCAACGATGGTAAAATATTTCTTAATTCCCTTTTTACTGGAAAAAAGATTATAAACATTAAGCAGGTGACCTTTCTGTTAACTGAAATATAGGTAAGATTGTTCAAATAATTGACTACTAGTACCATCTATTTTGAGAAGTAATTTTTATTTGTTGGCTGAAAATAATCATATACAAAATTCTAGTGTGTGTATAGTCTTTGAGCAATCTTCATTGCTCATGTTCTGGGTAATATTGTTCAGGTAATATTATTCAGGATGGTGACAGACTGTGCAATACGTGAACAAAACAAAAGGAATCTGAAAGCAGTCACTGTTCTGTTACTTTCTATGTATTAAGTTCTTTAGGAAGGTATCAGATCAGATTAAATTTAGAGCACAATGTGTTCATTTATGCATGCGATTTACTGTGGTCGACTAATTATCTGTGCAGTAAAGAATCGCCATCTACATGTGCGGCGTGGTATTAGCCTACAATAAACTAATTAGTTCTGCTGTAAGAGGCAGGGGCAGTACTATCTTACTGTTGGGGGGACAGTACTATCTTATGGCAGAGTAATTTACTGTGATCTATATGTGTAGATGCTGACTGTGGGCATGAATTGTGCCCAGTTACCCCAGGCAGCAGGGGGCCAGCTAACTACATGCCCCTACCCTGCAGCACCCACATGCCCCAGCCAGCCCCTCTGTCACCACCGAGCCTCCCTCCCCCACCTCCACTTCTGTCCCCTGCCACTCTGGGCCTGCTTCACCTTGGCTCAAATTGCTGCTCTCCCAGGCACATGTGTAGATGTTGCACCTGGGAGTAATTTTCTCTGACTTAAATTGCTCTGGAGTTTATTGCTTTGCATTATTTGTATGTATACAAAACCATAGACCTGAAGAGGGGTACTTAATGCCTAAAAGCTTGTCCAACAGCTCTTGACTAGGGTGTGAGATGCATAATTGTGTTTGAAGTATAATTGTGCTATTGTGTAATTGTAACTGAAGGGAAAGATTTATTTGTGTGTAAGTTCATGAGAAGTGGGTTTGGCTTTTTTTAGTGATGTATGAAGGATGTATTGGCATTTATCTCACTTGGACAGAAAATTAGTCTTGATAGAAATTAGCTTAGGCTTTGACAAATTCCAGATACACCCTGCTCCAAACCTCGTTGGACCACAGTTGAGAAAACAAACAAGCATTTGTAAGCTGAAAAAGGATCTAGTCTGTACTTGCCTCCTATAGTGGTCTTAACTGTGTTTTTTTAATTGCCAATGAAAGGTAAAGAGATGGACCATAATTTCACCATTTAGTGAGTTCTCTCTAGTTGTTTGTCAAATAAAACTTGGATGTGCATGTCAGTATAGTTGGTTGAGATTCTCTCTCTATTTTTGACTAGCTGCATCAATATAAAACATACATGTCTTGTCTCCACTTCTTGAATTTTATATCAAGATCACTATATTTGTGCTAGCACAATTTTTTTTTGCAGTGAAGACTTCCAGAGTTTCTTGCCTATGTTAAAACCTGAGTTTTAATTGTAAAACACATGTTAAAAAAGGACCTTTCAGTCTTTTAGTTACCATCAGAGGCATAAGAAAGACACAGTTCCTTTTAACCTTTGTAGGTCATCTTTAAGAACACAAGTATCTGATCTTGGAAGCGTGTTCACACAAGTAACTTTATTCATGTAAGCTGTCCTGTTTGAACTCAATGTTACTACTCACAGTAGGAAGCACTGTGCCAAGTAAATATTTGTGGGATCAAGATACAAGAAGGTGGTTTCAGGAACTTGAGAGAAGCTAACAGTTGTGAGAAAATCACTGCTGATTCATATAGACTGTCTTTCGTATGACACCTGTGGCTGATATTATTTCTGTGATAAAGTGCTAAGACTGCTTTCAGTATCATGTGTTACTCAGAAGTTTCTTCTATACTGTCATGAAACTTATGTAACTTTTTTTCTCTCTCTCTCTCTCATTGCAGTCTGCAACTGTGTCTGATGGAGGTAAGCCAAAGTTTGTATTGACTTATATCAGTATTGGGAAAGAATCAAAGTTCCTACAAAAAGCAGTGGAGTAAAAAGCAATAAATAAGTTTCCTTGATAAGCATTGTGGACCCATCTTGCAACCGGTAACAGTACACTTCAATAGGATTTCAGTAGGAATTGTCCCCATTAATATATTGCAGGATTAGGCCTTAGGTGGGCATGTTGTGTTCCTTTGTTTATATGCAAAAATACCTCATGGCACTTGTGTCTGAATAAATGGAATTCATCATTTGTGGTATTTAAAGCTGAGTGAGTATAAAATCAGGCACTAACTAGATAAAATCTTTCTGATTTCTTAAGTATTGTTTACCTAAGATAGTTACCTTGGCCATAGCACTTTTTTTTATCAACATTTCATTTTACATGTTAAAACAAGTTTTGCAGCTTTGCTTTGCAGAGGTAGCTTCTAGCAAATAGGTTATTAGTTATCTCAGAGTTCTTGTTAAAGAGTGAAGTATGTTTTTAGGTAAATAATATTACAAAATAATATGATAACCTTACAATCTGAATATACGCAAATCTGTCTGAAGAGCTCTCTGTTAGATAATGCTTCTGTCTTTGACACCGTTTGTGTATTATTGACAGCGAGGAAGTCCTTTAATTTACTCCATTTGAGCACTCTAAACCAAAATGTGAGATTGGTAAGAAACCATTGCTGTTTGGACCGTTTATCATGCTGTGCTCCAGAACAAGAAAAGGAATTGTTTGAGCTAAGTTTAAAGATGATTTTGCTTTTTCAGGTTTTCATGTGGCTGACAATGTGAAAAATTTGGAAGAACTTTATTTACATGAGAATAACATTTTCTACCTAAATTGCAATTGGTGGCAGGTGAAGAAACTCAGTCATTTGGAATGACTCTACACTGTTTTAGCATGATTCTAGCATTATATTGGCCCATTCACAATAGCTGTCCAAATTTTGTTATAAACCAGAAAGTGCAGTCCTCAATGGTTTACTAAGCCTCAGTACAGCTTGTTGTTGCTGTTCTCATTGGGTATTATTGATGTTTTGTCAGTGTTGAAATCTGAGGAACTGTGATGCTGGCAAAAAGTTACAGCCAGTCTTGTCTTAAACAGTGACCACAGGCATGATTCAATGGCAAAAACTTGGCCAGGTTTTTTGTCTACAGGGCAGGGCTCTAACACACTTATGATCTGACAGCGTTTCCCAACCTTTTTCACTCCGTGGCACACTTATATGGCCTCCCCACCACATGGCACACTGGCCAAGTGTGGGGGAGGGTGGGGGGCGAGTGACTGAACGAACGGTGGGGGGGGAATCAGGTGGCA